TCACCTGCATATACTTACATACAGACACACACACACAGACACACAGACACACACACACACACACACACACACACATCTGCCCTCACTCGTGCATACTACACACACACAGACACACACACACAGAGACACAGACACACACACACACCTGCCCATACCCACACATAGACACCCCCATTACACACCCCTGCCCTCACCTGCACATAGCCACACACAGACACACAGATATCTACATACCTGCTCTGGCCTACACATACTCCCCCTCCTCATATACCTACCCCCACCTGCACACACACATATGCAGACACACAGACTTGCACATAATTAAAAACAGACACATTTAAAAAAATTAGCCAGGTGGTGATGGTGTGCACGCCTTTAATCCCAGCACTTGGGAGGCAGAAGTAGGTAGATCTGTGAGTTCAAGGTCAGTCTGGTCTACAAAGTGAGTTCCAGGACAGCCAGGACTGTTATACAGAGAAACCTGTCTCAAAAACAACAACAAAAAAAAGGAAATACAGTGGTAACTACTAATATAAAGTTATAAATGGTTGAGAGGTGAACTTTTCAATCTCTGATCTGGAGGCTATTGTATTGGAAGGGTTCCAAAAATGCTCAGGTAAACAGTCATGACTAACACCAGTAATCTAAGTACTCTAAGCTTTTAAGGGGCTTAGGCAGGAGGACTGCTAAGAGTTCAAGTCTAACTTAAGCTATATAGCAAAACCTTGTCAGAAAAACAGGTGGTGGTAGCATACAGCTTAGAGGCAGGCAGATCTTCATGAGTTCTAGGCCAACCTGGTCAACACAGTGAGTTCCAGGACAGCCAGAGTTACACAGAGAAATCCTGACTGAGAAAAAAAAAGTAAAAAACAACCAAACAGAACCCCCAAGGGCTAGATGTGGTGAGACATTATTTATGATTTACTGAAGCTTGCCTGAAGATTCAGAAAGCAAAGTTAGCCACAAGCCATAGGAGCCAGGCACACACCTTTAATCTTAGGACTCAGGATTAAGAGGTAGAAGGATCTCTGTTAGTTCAAGGCCACACTACAGGAAATTGATCCAGTCCTAAAGAGAAACAGCTCACACAAAGAAGACTTCAGCACTTTGGAATCACATGCTTTTAAGTCCAGGACTCGTGAGAAGTATTTAAGACAGATACAGAGTCTCAGAGCTGACATTCATTCTCCAGCCACATTGAGGAGAGGCTGCAGTCTGAGGTTTGGTGGAGCCAGGATCACCTTTCAGTCTGAGGTAGAGTAAGAGCTAGTGGCCATCTGCTTGGCTTTTCTGATCTTCAGCTTGAAGTTTGAACCCCAATGTCTGTCTCTGGGTCTTTATGGTATGACACTGGGGAGATGCTTCAGTGGGCAAGAGTGCTTATTCTGCAAGCATAAGGACCTGAGTTAGAATCACTAGTTGACTACCCATGTAAAAACCCAGGCAGGGTTGAGTGTTCCTGTTAGGGGGCAGGGCAGGGACAGGTGGATACTGGAAGGTCCCTAGCCAGCAAGGCTAGGTGTAATGTGAGTTTCTGGTTAAATGACACACCTGTTATGGTAGACGTTCCATCCAAGCTCCCCTTCCCTATCTTCTTCCAAATCCTGCTGCATCTCAGAAAGCCCGCCAAATGATGACCCCCTCCCACAGGGTATTTAAACTGTGTCCCTCCACCCCGCAAAAACAGACTCATTGTTTCCTGGTCTCTCTTTCCCATCTACTCTCTGAGGGGCTGGAAGGCCACCCAGGAGCGTTGTATCCATTAAACATGGGCTTTTCTTGGGCTGGAGAGATGGCTCAGAGGTTAAGAGCACTGGCTGTTCTGCCAGAGGTCCTGTGTTCAATTCCCAGCAACCACATGGTGGCTCACAACCATCCGTTATGAGATCTGGTGCCCTCTTCTGGTGTGCAGATATACATGGAAGCAGAATGTTGTGTACAAAAAAAAAAAAATCTTAAAAAAAAAAAAAAAGGCTTTTCTAATTTGGTTTGATTTGGTCTGATTTGGATTACATCGGTAGAGAGGCTTATCCGAGTGTAGAAACTTCTCAGCACCCTGTCTCAATAAGGCAAACAGCAATAGACACCAGGCATTCTTCTCCGGCCTCCTTCCAATATGTACATGGACTTGAGTATGTGTGTGCAGAGAGCACACACGCACACACACACACACACACACACACACACACACACACAATTCCAGTCCTGGGGAAGGGTTCCCTTGACAAACTGACCAAGGGATCTTAGATATCTTCCCCCAAGTGAGCAGAGTCTGCTCTTTGGGTAGGCCACAACTGTCTGGTCTAACATCTCTCAGACACTGTGTTCCTCAGTGAGGACCCACTCTCGAAGTGGTGGAACATCTACAATTGTTGTACACAGTTCAGCCCCATTGTCACTTCCCCCAAACATGGGTGGTAAGGGCTGAAAGTTTGTGTGTTGCCTTAAACTCATTAAATGAGGTCAAAGGGCAGGGCTCTTATCTAGAAACACTGTGTGGGGCCAGGAAGACAGCCCACACCAGGAACCCACAAGACTGGTACCCTGACCTCAGACTTTTAGCCCCTAAGCTGTGCAAAAATAATCTGTGATTTAAACTACTCATCCCATGGTATTTTATTTTGTTTGGATATTACTCATCCCCAACTGATGAACATATGGAGCAATGGAGAAAGCATGAAGGCTTAAGGTTTGAAAGGAGAGGGGACTGGGGCATTCATAAAAGAGTATTTCACAGTAGCTTCTCCCATCCAAGTACTAACCAGGCCCGACCCTGCTTAGCTTCCGAGATCAGACGAGATCGGGCACTTTCAGGGTGGTATGGCTGTAGACATCTTCACACCCACTCACCCACCTACTGAACTTTTTCCACATTGCAGGCTTGCTGACACACTTCGGGGGAGATCTTGGGCGATCTGGCCAGAACGTTCATTGAATTCATGATCCTCCAGCCTCAGTTGAGGTTACACACACTCACCATCATGCCCAGCCCTTATTTTAATTATGAGTTAGAGAATTCTGAAGAGGCATTGATTAAATGCAATTGTTTTTAATTTGAGGTTTAGGGGAAGTTCCCCCCCCCCCAGACAGGGTTTCTCTGTGGCTTTGGAGGCTGTCCTGGAACTAGCTCTTGTAGACCAGGCTGATCAACGAACTCACAGAGATCTATCTGCCTCTGCCTCTGCCTCCCAAGGGCTGGTTGATTTTTTGTTTTGTTTTGTTTTTCTAGATAGGGTTTCTCTGTGTAGCCCTGGCTGTCCTGGAACTCACTCTGTAGACCAGGCTAGCTCAAACTCAAAGCTCTGCCTGCCTCTTCCTCCTGATTACTGGGATTAAAGGCACACACCACTATCCCTAGCTGACTTCTTTTTTGTTTTATTTTATTTTTGTTTTTTTTTGGGGGGGACAGGGTTTCTCTGTATTACTTTGGAGGTTGTCCTGGAACTTGCTCTATTTTATTTTATTTTTGTTTTTTTGGGGGGGAGGGACAGGGTTTCTCTGTATTACTTTGGAGGTTGTCCTGGAACTTGCTCTGTAGACCTGGCTGGCCTCAAACTCACAGAGATCCGCCTGCCTCTGCCTCCCAAGTGCTGGAAGAAAAGGCATATGCCACCAACGTCCAGCCTCTGGTTTCTTTTTTAAAAGTCTTTTTTAAAAATTTATTATTTTTGTCTTATGTGCATTGGTGTTTTGTTTGCATGTATGTCTGTGGGGTGTCAGATCTGAAACCGGAGTTACAGACAGTTATAAACTGTCATATGGGTGCTGGGAATTGAACCTGATCCTCTGGAAGAACAGCCGGTGCTCTTAACTGCTGAGATAGCTCTCAGAATCTTTTTGAGGTTTGTAAAGCAGCAAGTTGGGAGCTGAAGGGATGGCTCAGCGGTTTTGCAGACATACATGCAGGCAAAACACTCCTTTACATAAAATATTTAATTTAAAAAGGATCCATTTAAAGGAACTAGGACTAGATGGCCAGATCCAGGTAGGAGTTTCATTAGTGGATGAAGTTAGAAGAATGAATAGAGCAATCAGCTCAGCTGGTGCCTACTCTGCCCACTTTCTAGTTTACTTTCCAGGAATTACTGTCTCCATGTTTCAGATGAGGAAACTGAGGTATATTAAGACAAGAAACTGTGTACCATTTGGGAGGTGGAGTCATCCTCACCTATACAGTAAGTTCGAGGTCAGACTGGACTGCTTGAGACCTTCTCAATCCCAACCACCCTCCAAAAGGAGAACCCAGGGAAGTTACTGCTAATGAGGGACTAAGATTACAACTAACGGCCTTGACTCAGGTTCTGCTCTTGCAGTTCTTGACGCCAGGACGCACTCTCATTGTCTGTGGAGGAAGTGAGGGACTTAGGGTTCAAGTCTCCAGCGATGTAGTTGGCTGCCTTAGACCCAACACCTGCCCAGACCTAAGACTCAAACCAACCCAGAGAAAGGGGGTAGTGATGACTTTGGTAAGGGACCCGTTGCCATGGGAACAAATGAAGGCCTGAGGCGCGCGCATGCGCACAGCCAGAAAAGGGGGGGTTGCTGAACCGGTGAAAGGTGACGTAAAGCGCCCGGGGTGGGGCGGAGGGCTCACACTGTAGGAGCTGCAGCCTTTGGTGTCCACAGCAGAGAGAAGGTGTGAGACGGTTGGGGACGGTGTGTGTCCGGCGCCCAGCCACACACCATCGAAGCGAACCGCGAGGACCACACTGGCCCCGCGGCCGAGGCTCCGCCTCTCGGACCTCGGGACTAATCGGATTGAAAGCGCGCCGGGCCCGGGCCCCGAACTCGCCAATTGAGGAGGGCGTCAGTCACCGCCCAATCCGGGGCAGACAGGTGCGAGGTCCTGAAGGTGAAAGCCAATCGGCAGCGGTTGCGGCCTGCGGGGGCTGGACTCAGCCAATGGGGAGGCTCGAGTGACAGCTGAGCGCGCCAATCGAGAGTGAGGATCGGTCGTGCCCGCCCGCCCTTCCGGCCGGAGCTCTATTTACCAGGGGCGTGCAGCTTGCTTGCCAATCAGAGTGCGGCTGAGCGGCCGGACAGCCAACCCCGGAGGAGCGGCCGGCGGGCGGCCGCCGCACCCAGAGTTGGGATGTCCTACAAACCCATCGCGCCCGCCCCCAGCAGTACCCCCGGCTCCAGCACCCCCGGGCCAGGCACCCCGGTCCCTACAGGTGAGGCTCCAACTCCACCCTTGCTCCCCTTGTCCGGGCAGTCGAGGTCTTGAAGAGAAACGGCTCGAGTTTTGCAATACCGGGCCTGCTAGGCGAGCCTTGCTCAGCCTCAGTTTGCTGGCCTGAGAAGTGGGCGTGGTCACGTTGAGATTGTAGGTGGAGTGCAGGGGGAGGAGTGTGTCCCTGAAGTTGTTGAGTGTGGAGTGAAGAAGCATGCCTTTGGAGATGGGGGAACTCTCCAGGGCTTCGAAAGCGGTGACGAGACCCTTGCTACACTCTGAACTCATACTCGTGCTTTTGCAGCCGGAAGTGTCCCATCGCCATCGGGCTCAGTGCCAGGAGCTGCAGCACCTTTCAGACCACTGTTTAACGACTTTGGACCGCCCTCCATGGGGTATGTACAGGTGAGTGTGGCCAGGAGCTTGCATATGGATGAGGACAGGAGGTCCCCTCGGGGTCTGAGGTCATGTCTCTATTTTCTTTTGACATAGGCGATGAAGCCACCTGGTTCCCAGGGCTCTCAGAGCACCTACACGGACTTGCTGTCTGTCATAGAGGAGATGGGAAAAGAGATCCGGCCCACCTATGCTGGTAGCAAGAGTGCTATGGAGCGCCTGAAGAGAGGTGAGTGAAGCCGCAGACCCACCCTTGCACTGCCCAGAACACAAACACGGAACGCTAAGACATTTCATTAAGGAGGGAGGCTATCTGGGCCAGCCTAGATTGAACCAGAACCTCTATCCAGACAGGTGTTTCAAAATGAACTTGAGTCAGTTTCCAAAAAAGTGCCTGGGAACTCAGGGTGATTGTGAGGGTTCACTAAACTCTTAATCTCATCCGACCGCATTAGATTAGAGGTGCTCTTGCTGAACCACCAAGTGGGTGGGGGAGTATCTGCTCTAAAGGGTGGGAATGGTGGCTGTGGAAGGTTGCTGAGACCCTGTTTGTTACTTCCCCGTCCCCATCCCACCTCAGGCATCATCCATGCACGGGCACTGGTCAGAGAGTGCTTGGCAGAGACAGAACGCAACGCCCGCACGTAACAGGAAGCACCTTGGCCTTTTCATCGGGACCTTTCCGGCCACTGCAGAGCACCTGCTTCTCCTTGGCCTTCACCCCAAGTTGCTTCCTATCCTGGGCTTCCTGTCCTGTGTCCCTTGGGGGGCATCCTCCAGGAACCAGGTAGCAGATCTTCCTCCAGTTGGGCTCCTCTCTCTGCAGGAGTGAGCAGAGAGGCCACCGCGAGTTCCACCCATGACCTGCTCACAAATCCGATCCAACTGGAGCTTGCTCCTCTCTGTGGCTTCTTCTCAACTCTTAGTCCAGGCCCCCTCCCCCTCCAACGGGAGTGCAGAAGGTCACCTTGCCTCATCTCTGGGGCCACAGCCGACTCTTTTTTTGGTGTGTCTTTTACTAAATACGCCCTTTTTATATAAATAAAAGATGATTTGGAGTCATTCTCTCAGCTCTGAGCCTTTCTGTGTCTGTTCCTCTGGGGAAGCCTGAGTGGGCCAGGCAGAGGGGAAAGGGCAGAGCAGGAATCAGGGAGGGTCTTGAACCTAGTTTTGCCTTCTCACCCTCTCTGTGCCTGCGAGCTGGGGGTAGCTAAAGGCCTGAACACCCGTGGTGTGAAACCCTGCATCGTGTGGTGCCACTAGGGGGCAGCGCAGGGCCTTGATGCCTTCACAGCTGGAGGCACTGTTGGACAGCCACAGCCTGGAGGGCCCTTCCCCTGGTTAGGCAGGAGTGCCTGGCAGGGTGGAAATACCAGTTCACCTGAGTCTCTCCTTTGAATGCCCTAATGCCCCTACACTACTCTCTGCATTGCCCTTCGAAGACTCTAAAAACACCAGATCTCTTAACTTCTCGGGGAGACAGTGGGATGTCCCCTTTCCTCAGCTCCTTGGCTTGATGCTGCTATCCACTTCCACCAGGCTGGGTGTGGCTCCATGAGCCACCCTCGGTGTCTCAGCCTTTGTACAGAGTCGAGGCAACTCAGATGGGTGGCCAAATTTGAGAACCTAGCAGCCATAAGTAGGGAAGGACTCGGACTCTATTAAGGGGATGGCCTAGAGAATTGTGGTAACAGAGACCTCTACCTGGGTCTGTAGCTGAGTGACCCTGAAATTCCAACCCTAGGCAGAGACAAGTGAGAGCTACCAGCTTCTGGCTAACTTTGGGGTACAGCGTTTCCTTTACCCTGGGACCCAGCCATGTCAAATTCCACCTCTTCAACATACACAGGAGGGCTGCCCTGGCTGGGCCAGGGTGGGAAATGAAACCGAAAATCCTTGGGGTGTCCATGCAGCACAGAAGTAAAGAACTGTGGCATATGGGTACCGACCTCCTCCCCATCAGCCATGAAGAAG